CTTCAGAGGGCTGGAAACCGTCCTGAGCCCCTGCCCCCACCTCTGGCTTTGGGCAGGATCTGCCTCCTTCGGCAGCCAACGTCACTTTTCCTGGGGGTTCTCCCTTATCACTGGTGTTTTCCTCTCCAGAAAGGTCTTGAATTTTACTTGCTGGTTTGTGTCATTTGATTTATAAGCTCAAGGGGTCCTTCGCAAAACCTGGACTACTTCTTGTACTTAATTGCTACAATAAACTTAAAACTTGATGCTTTGGGATAAGCAATCTGGGAGGAAATTGTTTGATGTATGGAAGCAGACGGTAGGTCCTTCTTGTGAGCGTCACCGAAGGGACACAGAGGAGAAGTGGGTTTATAAATAACTATAAAATTCAGAAACTACGCGAGCTCGGTGAGAGCAGACCCCTATTAAGCATGAACAGCTTGCAGCGCAATACCCAACATCTGCGAAAGTCCTTGCAGCCGGGATAATTCCCCACAGCCCCGAGTGCTGCACCCAGGCCGTCTGACACCGGCTCGAACTCCACGGGGCCGGGAGGCTGCGATTTGCACGGACACAGCCGAGCACAGGAAGGGGTGCCTGGAGATTGCATCCTAAAATGCAAATCAACAGCTGAAAGAAAAGGTTGATTAACAAGTTGTAAGGTTTTACTCACATTGCAAGGAAGGTGTTTTTTCTTTTCCTTTCCGAAATTACTTTATCAAAAATAACTCTTTACATTTTAAAAGCTGCTTTCTTCCAGCTCTCCGTGGCTGCAGCATGGACGGAGCACGGATGTTGCTGAGCCAGCGTGGATGGAGCTGCTGCGGTGGCCGGGCGATGCTGTGGCCACTTGCCACGGCTCCGGTGCCTCCGAGTGCCACAGCCGTGAAAAAAAATTGTGAAATCCATTCAGTGTGTCAACGCCAAGGAGGGAGTTATCACTCACGGCAAAGCGCAACTCCAGCCAGCTGGAGCTGCTACCAGCCGGCTGGTAGCTCAGCCCCGGGGGTGGCGGGGGGTGCATCCCCCTGCACCCGGTACCCAAAATACATCCAGGGGCCAGGAGAGCTGCCGCGGCGCCGGCGATGTTAAAATTATGTCTTCGGATGCCGTAGCTCTTATTTAGCTTTCCGAGCCACGTTTGAAAAGAGTCACTGCATGTTTTGTGTATTCTGGGAGTCGGGCAGACACACAAAATTAGAAAGAAAGAACACGTAGATATCGCAGAGTCATCTGTTTCCAATAGCGTGTGTTTACGTATTAACGTGCAATACAAATTTGTAAACACGAGCATTTGAACCTTTTGTAGGGACCGATAGCGGCCGTTTCCCTTTCTGCAGCTTGATTGGAACAGCATGTCCCCCTGGCCCCAGCCACACATGTACAGCCTTTTAGTACGGGATGCCTTTCAAATGTTCTGGGTGCTTATTTGTTCTGGGCTATCCTGCTCTCCAATCCTCGTTTGTTTTGCATAATTGTGATACAAATTATCGTCTAATTACGGACCAAACCTCAGAAGATCAAATGTAAACCAAAGCACTTCGATCAGGAAAAGCTGCATCCGACGCTCCCTCTACGTGTTTGGCATCTTCAATAGACGTATTAAATTTGGGTGAAACCGGATAGTAAACTGCGCTTTGATTAAAAACGTTGTCGCTGGGGGGTTTTGTCTCCTTGGTTTTTAAATCGGACTCCTGGTGTCTGAGCACCGAATCCATTCCACGTCCCTTGGTACGGCCGGTTTAATTTGCCGAGTGCTATAAATGGGATCAGATATTCCCGAGTAACTTCAAACTCTTCTTGGGAAAGGTCACATAACTAATAGCTAAGATCATTCAGCAAGTTTAATCTTTAAAAAAAAAAAAGCACCCTGATTATTTTCTCCCTGTTCCCATTTAAAAATAGCACACTAATACTGCCTTTATGTTTGTATTCACCCGCTGATCTAAAGAAATGTGAAGTTTTGCGCTTGCCACAGGTTTTCAAATGACATTAATGGGGGAGGCCGTACAAAGCAGCACATAACGTATTTGTATTTACAGCCGCGTGCTCCCGCTTGAAATATTGACCTCGATTCCCCCAGTTTCACATTTAATAACTAATGATTTATTACACTGACCTACTCTTTCGCATTCTACCACTCACCTCGCGCCAGCAGCCGTTTCACAAAGCACCCCTGGAAAGCAGCGTGCGGGTCATCCGCTATTTTGGGTGCGGTTTTTCTCATATAAGCAGAACCATCAGCTGAATTACCATTGCAGGTATGGAAAATATTCCCATGCTGGGACGGTCAGGGAACCTTGGCGAGGTCTGAGGCGACAACGTGGACATCAGGACAGAGAGCTACGGCTGCCTGAAAACGCTGATTTGTTTCGTAAAGAACCACCGACATCTTTTTTGTTTGTTACAGTGATATTTGAAAGGATAAATCAGGTGCTAAAGGCAAAGGAAATAGAAAGTATCCTCAGATAGCCCAGGTCTGACAGCGTCCCTCATGTCGTGCTGACCTCTCATCCAGAGCTAATTGTCTTTAATTGTATTTCTGCGGCTGCCTCACCCTCGCTGATGAGCGCTGCATCCTCCTCGGAGCGTGGTGCCGGCACCCAAGGGACACGGGTACCGGTGTCGCGCATCCCTCGCAGGGACCAGGCTCTGGGCGCGTGTGTCCCGTGGGGCTGTGACTGGGGAGGCTGGTGACAACCGGGCTCCTACCGACCCACGTAGGCGCATCGAGACCCAACCCGATTCCAGTGGAATTAGCTGAGCGCATCAGCCCCACGCTGGGTTTGTAGTTTGATGCCGAAAGGCACGGGATAAACAAGCAGCTGTGGGAAGCCCCGCGCCCGTTTGCAAATATGCCCTGGGTAGGAACGAGGCGGGTTCCGTCAAAGAGAGCATTTACTCAGCTGTAGTAGAGGGACTTTATCTGATCCAAATTTAAATGTCTATTGCTGTAAAATTGTCTGTGCCGAAGATATCTATTCTAGTCATTATCAGTCACGTTTTTAGCTAGACAGACACTGATCTGTTGGACCACCAGCTCGTGGCCAGCAACTCTGGAACATCTTATGCAACCGCAAATATTTGGAAAATTGGAAGTTACCCATTGCATCCACCCACGAATCCGTGACTGATCTGGAAGAGCCTTCCAGCTCCCCAAAAGTATAACCACATGTGGGGGCCGGTACTCGGTCACTCGGCCCGTGGGGATTTGCAGAGCCCGTCCCAGCGCCTGCAGCGGGCTCGCCCGCGGGAACTCGGCCGATGATGAGGGATGGCTTGGAAAGAAGGACTCCCGAATGAAAAAAAGGTTCTTTTTTTTTTTTTTTTTAATAAAAATAGCGAGATAAACTGCTAAGAAACAGCACAAGAAAGCAGGTTTGTTCGGTTTTAACAGTTGTACAGACCATTTAGCAAGGCAAGCATGGCCCACCGTTTCACACTGGTATCGCTGGGGGCTCTGCGAACACTCAAAGCAGGTAAGTTAGCGAAACCAGTGTTGGGTGATTTTTATCAAAGTCTCATGAAAGTAAAAGTGTGAGGTTTCGTGATTTTAACAGCTTTCGATATTGCTTGTTCTGTTCTTAATTTGTTGTCTGTTACAGATGAAAGTAAAACCAGAACTGAGATGATACCAATTCTGATTCTTAAACCTGCACGTAATCCCGATGGAATGCTGTGTTATGTTTGTAAATACAGAATTCTCTTAATCCCAAAACGCGGCCGGTCTCAGTCAAGCACTATTTTCAAATCTCTGTCATATATCAAATAACAAATTTGGCTTCAGGTAGGGACTGAGCATCGATCAAACAAAAAATAAAACCTGTGCCCCAATTTATTGCGAGTTATATTGTGCCCTTGGGAGCTAGAGATTATTTACAGGAATAACAAGAATATCCACAGGTTATAATAAAACAGGACTTTTAGAAGAGACATAAAATCTCATGTTTTGGGGCCCGTAGAGTTGTAATTCTCCGGAAAGGAGCTGTGTTCTCGCCAGGACTGAGCCAGGAGCGTCCCTGGCCTTTCCCCGGGCCCAGGCTGGCCGATGCGATCCCAGGTGGATGTTCTGTGCCCCCCAGGGCTGAAAACGCTGGGTAGGAGAAGCGTCCTGCCAGGCTGCCGGAGGTGTTTCATCCCACGCGGCTCCCCGAGATGTATCTCCCAGGTCCTCTAGCCCAGATCCAGCTCAGCTTGGGGGAGATGCGTGACCACTCATCCTCTGATCCTTCCCACCACGTTGTCAGCGCTGGTGTGCTCTGCACTACCACCTCCTGGAGACCTCCAGAAGCAGGAGCGTGGAGAGGAGGGCTCTTGGAGCACCCCCGCATCAGGCTCCACTGTCTCATCCCCACAAGGTAGGGACGCATCCGTCTTTTGTCCCGGCTTTCCTTACCTCAGCAGCAGATACTTGAATTTACATCCCCACTCTGATAACTGAGTCATCTGGGTCCTGGAGCAAAAAGGCGCTTTCATGTCATTAATTACAACCCATTAAAGCCAAGGGAATTTGAGAACATGCTCGAGCACTTGGCCAAATACAGCTCCTTTCCTGACTCAAGGTCTCAAATAGTCCCTTTAAAATGAGTGGAAAAACTCAAGCAGGGTGAGCAGAAGCTCACGAGGGCTTTGAGCTAACTAAAGGCAAGCTAGATAGAGAGCTTCAGGAAAACCTACTTGTAGAATTCCATACGTCTACGTTCCCACTTCAGAGTGCAAATATTAAAAAGGTGACTGTACAGTTTGCTCTTAACCTACAACCATGACATAAATATCACCAAAAGGTATCACCTTGCTGTGGATCATCTCAGACCCTCCACGCTCCCAGATCCTCCACCCTCCCAACAACACAACATGTTTGCCCACAAAAAAAAAAACCCCACCCAACATTTAAGAAATGCCTAGACACGCCGCTCCTGTACCATGCAGTATTTCATAGTCACTAACTAGCAAGCCCTTGGGTATGAAGGAAGGAAAGGCTTGCTTTACATATCAATGCTTAGAAATATTATATAATTCCACTAAAGGCAATGGTTAATCGTCGGGTGCCAGTTAGGGTGATTACATCTGCCATCTCTCAAAGAAGCCGGAATGCTGTCACTCACTTTGAAATGGCTTGCTGCATTCATCAGTCTAGATGGCACAGAGAAGTTATAACCGTACAAGCCATATGGAGGATGTAAAGAACAATTAAGTGCTTCCCGAGCAATGGGACTTGATGGGAAAATGTTTCCAGATGCATGTAATCCATACAGCATTTGACTAGCAGAATTGGGTACTTGTAGACATTGCCCGTTTATGTCTTCAGCTTTAGCGTTTTTCAGATTGGTTATGCCGAGGGAAGAGAGTTTTGGCATATCCACCATGAAGTGGGGTAAAAGCTGTGGGTTGGTGCCTCCCAGTTTTTCATGGCTTGGAAAGATGAGAGACTGTTGTCTTAAGAAGCTCGTAGGACAAATCTTGTAGTAGAGCGGCACGTTGAGGTTGTGTAGGTAGGTCTCGGGGCATGACACGCCGATGTTGCTCGCTGACAAGTGAAACGTAGGAGGTGAGCACGATGGAGAGAGCAGGGGGTTGAGAGGAGAGGGCGTCCCACCGCTGGAGGTCACCGGCGAAGAACCGGAGCTCCCACCTGAAAAGGGAAACAGAAACCATCCAAGCTGGGCAGGCTGATGTTCACAGCCAAGGAACCCTGGGCGGACTCCTGCTCCCACTCCACATTTTCCCGCTGCCGGTGTCCATCCAAGCACAAACCCGCTCCGAAAATCAGCTCCTGGAAAATGGGAAGACCTGTCCGTAAATTATTTGTTGTTGTTACTTGGCACCTCTCTAAGGACAACAGTCACGCGTGTCTAATCCCATTCATTCGCGGGACAGCGATGAAGTTCAGCTCCACACGTACAGGTACCTGCCGGGGCTGTGCCTCGCTATACAACCCACGACTTGCTCCTGTTAGACACACGCCATCGCTGGTTTAGGTTCCCTATTTTTCGGGCAAATTACAGGCAGCTTTTCCCCCTTGTATATAAGAACAAAAAAATGCATTCAGCCTGATGGAGAATTTTTTTGGTACCTTCCTGCTCACAGGAATTGACTAATTTTACTTGGTTTCCCATGCAATTTGAAACATACCCTTGAATACTATAGGTGTCTCCAGAAACTTCAAATGCACATGTCATTTTAACATTCTCCTTTCTGAAATGAATCAATGAACACTTTCATAATTTGGTAGAAAAGCGACACCGGCTCGCTTCACACGTGTGAGCCGAGGCCGCTGGTGTGTAACATCACTGTTCAGCCCCGGCTCGCCGCTCCTCCGGAGCAACATCAAGAGCAAAAACTAAGCGGCGGCGGCTGCTCTGGCGTGGGGATGGTGCTCTGGAGCGGCCGGCCTGGTGCTAAACAGATGCTGGTTTCATCTAACGCCGTTTAAGAGCCGTATGTCTCTGCTGCACATTCATTACCACATTCTTCCAGAGTGGGTTGTTGGGTGTTTTTTTTTTTTCCCCCCTCTCTGTTTTCATTTCTTACCAAAGTCACTGAGAAAGGAAGGGAAAGTGGATCCATTTTTACTATGTGTTTTTCTCTATTTATATTTAATTCCAAATGATGTACTGGCTGGATGGGATCTGGTCAGACGTTACATGCACTCAGCAGCACAGAATCAGCTGTATCACCAAGCCATACCTGCTAGTATATCAAACCTAAAAAAAACCCCACAAAGATTCCCGACGTGGTGCAAATTACTTTTGCAAACTCCCAGCAAGCAGAGTATCTCACAGGTTGGGTAACGCGCAGGCGGCACCTATTCGCAGTAATCCGGGAACGTTTTACGGCTTGAACGTCTCACCCTTCCGCGCTGATGTCAGCGGCTGTTTCAGTACTGACATCAGCAGGAGCGGATGCAGGGCAGGGGTCTGGTCCTCTCCCGATGTACACGGCCTGACGTCCTCCCAGGACTCAGGGACGTTTGGCCGTGTGAAATGACGGGATTGAGCCGATATTGGTGAGTGCGAGGCAGCGAAGGAATCCCTACGCAGCTAGCTGTAGCAGAGCAAACGAGTGTTAGTATTTGCTTCAAGGCGTCCTAAGCGATAAGAGCACGCGACTTCCAGCGCAAGTTTGGGAACGGAGATCACAGCGGGGAGGACAGAGCAGCTCAAAGAGCAGATTCTTTCTGCCTTTTCTATTCGGCTTAAAAATCGCAAATTTATCGCCAATTCTTTCTCCAGCGTACTGTTCGTGCTTTCTTTTAATTTACCTTCTGGTTTGGGGGCTTCAGGATTTCTATTTTTCAGCTTTTCTTCAGAAATACAGTTTTAATATTAGTGGAATTGGAGATTTTTTTATATTTACATCAGTCCTGGAAATTTACTCTGAAGAAAAATACCAATTGCATTCAGACTAGCAAAAAAATCTCAGGAAGCCCTAATATTTTAGCATCTGTACAACAATCGAGGCAGTTGCTGTTCTCTCATTCCCCACTGCAGCCCATCCACCAGCTCCTCTCCTCGATCCTGCATCACAGCCTGCAAAACGGGTTCAAAAGGGCCTTTTTGCATAAGGTCTTTTCTAAATTTGAAAAAAAAAAAATAAATCTAGTTCTCTTTACGATCCAGTAAACCTCTTAATTTCTCCCGAGTCTGATTTTTTTACGTCTCCGCATTTTTACGCCGGTACAGCACGGAATTTCGCTGTGATTTTTGCAGTATTTCACTGCAGAGAAGGGAATGCTTTGGTGTGCCCCAGGACAAATGTCTTTGAAGAGTCCCTAACATAAATGAGAGTTAAACTGGTGACTTTAAACCCAAACTGGAGTGCAAATGCTCCGTTAGTTTGTTGTTTTTTTTTTTTTTTCCTTCAGCACTATGAATAATCAGTTTTCAAATACTATTTCCAAAAGCCGTTTTTCTGGAAAAGGGCTGTAAGAGACCGATGGGCGCTTGTCAGGCAGAGGGAGATCGTTTTCCCTGGAAAACTTTTCCCCCTTCCCTGCATTTCTGCGGAGTTAACGGGCCGTGGGACTGCGGCACCCTAAACAGCAGGTAATGGTATTTTCTGTCGCACAACGCAGTTGTTCGCCCAGAAGCAGCCGGCTGCAGAAGACACCGGCGCTCAGTATTATCACGGTTTGAGCTAATAGTCTCAAACGGGTTGGAAACAGTTAGTTTAACAGGATCAAAACCCTGACAACCCGACTCTAAATTAGCCTCCTACATACTCAAATATTTTTTTTTTTTTTTTCCTGCGCATCTGAATCTGATTTCTGCCGGGCGATGAAGGCAGACCGTTACCCTCCTCTTCCCGGGGCGAGTGCGCTGCTCCTCAAACCGATTTTAACAGCAGGTTTTGCCGAAAACACGAGGAATTGGCTTCCCAAAACCTTCCGTTGGCCGCCGGTT